CAGGACCTCCTGCCCCATCCCTTCCTAAAATTGCCCGTTCTTTCCATGTGTACTTGCTAAGGGACCTGCTGCCCCACTGGATCAATGTTACCTGAGCGCCTATGCTTGTAATCTTATTGGTTGACTGAAGTTTTAACTCACGTTGTACCCACCTCCTGATAGTGCTCTAGAGAACTTCCCCGGTGAGGTGCAGGCTGCAGCAACCCAGCAACCAGACAGGTCCCTCCCTGTCTCTCTCAATAAATTTTTCCTACTCTTAACCTCCGTTGTTCCTTAAAAGTCATTCTTCGATTTTGCGGGGGACATGAACTCAGCGTACCTGGCAATCTGGCAGGTTGAGAGTTGTATTATTTCCCCTGCATCACTACCGCAGGGTCAGACTGGATAGCCACGCTGTAAATTCTGAGAACTGAAGTTGGGAGAGTCAAGGGCTTCCTTCCGGCTGTGGGTGTGGATGAGTACATCCCCGTTCCTTCCCTCAGGGACTGAGCTTCCAGCCTCCCTACCAGCTCAGCCCTCTTTGGTTTTTTTTTTGTTTGTTTGTTTGTTTTTTTCTCCGGTACCGGGAACTCACGACCTTGCGCTTGCCAGGCAGGCGCTTTTGCCGCTGAGCTAAATCCCCTAGCTCAGCCCTCTTGTTGTCTTCCTCACACACCCACTGCCACCCACTGCCGCAGAGTGTAGGTTCCCTGGCCTGAACCCCTCCAGCTCGTCCTCTCCGCTGTGAGCAGCCGGACTTTGTTCAGGTAGCCACCCACCCCGCCCCCTCAGACTTCCTGCCGCCGCCACCTCACGGTGAATCCTGATTGGTTTTCGGAACTGTAACCTAGTTCCCTAACACTAAGTGACTGACTGAGGTCCTGCCACTAAAAACCGATGAAGCCTTCTGAGGCATTTTGGGGAAGGACTCCTTGTTAAGAAAAAGACACAGAAAAATGTGTGTCTATGCTAGGGAGAGTGGCACACATCTGTAGTTTTAGTTACTCCAAAGGCTGAGGCAGGAAGATTACAAATGGCAAGGAAGCTGAGGTAACAGAGTGAGATCCTGTCTAAAAAACCAAAAAAATTCGAGGCCACCTTGGACTACATAGTGAGTTCAAGGCCAGCCTGGACTGCACAGTGAGACCCCGTCTCAAAACACACACACACACACACACACACACACACACACACACGGTGTTTAGGATGTAGCTCAAAGAGGGAGCGTGGAGAAAAAAGAGAGAGAGATGGGTTCTTAGGTTGCTGGCCAGGGTCTTGTCTAAGGCACCCAGAAGTTTGGAAGCTACCTTGAGACCTTGGGGAACAATCCAAAGATGGCAGAGTAGAAAGACAGATAAATGTGGTATTTTATGTGCTTGAGATGTCTTTTTTTTGTTTTGTTTCTTTTGGTACTGGGAATTGAATTCATGACCTCAGGGTTGCCAGTCAAGTGCTTATGCCGCTGAGCTACATCCCCGGCCCTTCATGAGGTCTTTAAACAGTTCCAGCTGGGCACGGTGGCATGCACCAATAATCCCAGCACTTGGGAGGCTGAGGCAGGAGGATCTCTGTTGGTTCGAGAACAGCCTGGGCTACAAAGTAAGCTCAAGGCCAGCCTGAACTGCATAGCGAGGCCCTATCTCAAAAAGACAAAAACAAAACAAAATAGTTCCTGAGCCATCCCTGGAGGTGAGCTACTACCAGCCTTCTAGCTGGATGAGGCCTTAAAAATATTATGGAAAAAAAAATCTTATGGACTGGGGGTGTGCTCAGTGGTAGAGAGCTTGCCTAGCATGTATGAGGCCTGGGTTTGATCCCCAGTATCCACTCAAAACAAAAACAAGACTTCTTATGGCACCATGGATATTACAAAGCTTACCAGGCTGACAAGAGTGCACCTTACTATCCTGACAGTCAAATTCCACAGACCCATGGGGCGGGGTAGTACATGCCTATAATCCCAGCACTGGGGAAGCTGAGGGGGGATATGGCTGCAGGTTTGAGGTCAGTTTGAGCAACATAATGAATTCAAGGCCAGCCTAGAATACAGTGAGATCCTGTGTACCTGCAGTATAAATAGAACCTTGGTAAATGTCACCTCCTAAGCCCGATCATCCATTCCTTATTGCTGCAGGTATGAACATCAGCTGTGCAAGCAGAGATGCCCTCCAAATCACCCACAGCCGTGTCTACACCCTGCCTCACAGACTGGCACAGAAACACACACACACTGCATGTCTGTTGCAAATAATGAATGTTTTCGTTGTTGTTGTTTTGAGACAGGGTCTCTCTGTGCAGTTCAGGCTGGCCTTCAGCTCACTTTGTAGCCCAGGCTGGCCTCAAACTCGCAAGAATCCTCCTGCCTCAGCCTCCGGAGTGCTGGGATTACAGGTGTGTGCCACCACCCCCGGCTAGGTTTCTCATAGAAGAGAAACCGTGTAATATTTAAACTTGTGTGTCTGGCTTATTTCACTTAATATTATAGTCTCAAGGTCCATCCCTTTTTCCACAGATAACTCAAGTTTATCTTTATGCAGAGTAGTCCTCTTCTATTACATTAAGAAGAAAAGATGTCTATCAGCTTAAAGAGGCGAGTGAGCCTTGCTCGAGATGCCCAAAGAAATGCCCATCTGCAATTCCCAGGTGCCTGTGCCAAGTGTATAGTGGCATGACCTTTAAACTACCAAACCATGGATGTTACAAAGAGTACCAGGCTGACAAAGAAAACAAATTTTTTTTACTATACTTAGTGTTTATTACAAAAAAAAAAAAGTCACACAGTGAGTTCAAGGTCAGCTTCAACTACATAGTGAGAACCTAACTCAGAAAAACAAAAAAGGCTGGGTTGGTGGCACATGTCTATAACTCCAGCACTCGGAAGGCTGAGGCAGGAGGATTGCTGCCAGTTCGAGGCCAGCCTAGGCTACATAGTGAGTTCAAGGCCAGTCTAAACTACATAATGAGACCCTGTCTCAGTAAACAACCCCCCGAAAAAAAACTAAAAAAGCAAAAGACCTGTTATACTTGCTGCTTGGTGGAAGAGCCTGGTATCACCCACACATTGATACGTGATTTTATTCTTCTCTCCAAACGATCTAGGGAAGCTAGGGCAGGTACTGTGGGGCATGAGTTGCACTGCATGGCACTGGCCTGTGACAAAGCAGTAATACAAACAGAACGTTGACGTTATAAAAGGTACCAAAGTCTGGAGTGTGGAGCAGATCGCTGTGACCCGGTCGGCACCCCAAGCCTGGGCAGACAGGACAGCAAGTCCTTCTGCCACCTACCAGTGACTTATGCCGTAAAATGCCTCCCCACTGCAATCCTGGGCCATCCAGTCATGGAATCGGAGTGGCAGCCGCCAGAAAGGGGCAGGGAGAGGGTTCAAGACAGTGTTTGCCCAGAGGCAAGGTCACAGCAAGGACTCCAGCCATGCTGCTACCCCACTGAGCGCCCCGCAGGCCTCTGCAGGGTGCTGACACCAAGAGAACAGGCCAAGAGAAGCTGCATCACCTCGGGCCTCCCTGGGGCGTGGGGCCACCGCGGCTGAAGGCGGATTTCACTCTAGCAACACTCTGCTGCAGAAATCTGTGCGGAAGGTGAGGTCTGTCCCAGAATTTAATTCCTTTCTGGATTCCGGGAAAGGCCTTGGTCACCAGCAGGAGACTGAGCAAGGGTCTGTGCACACTGCCTCTCCGCCTTCTGCCTCTCGGGCATCCCTGCAGTAGCCACTGCTCTGGGCCAGCGTGCAATGGGACCCAACTCCTGCTCCTAGGGCAAGTCCTGTCCCCTCCGCACGATTCTTAATTCCATCTGTCCCCCGTGGGGTCTCTGGGCCTCTGGAGACCTGTGAAGTAACAGAATGGGTTTTGGGACCTTTTTCAGTATTTCAGATATCAGAGGAAGTCAGTGTCAGCAGGACTTCAGCCAACTACCACCGACCACCTTCAGGTGCAAGGAATCCGTGGGTGACCTTGGTTCTGGGCAGAAGGGCAGGATCGCACCCCATAACAGGACCTCAGGGCTCAACCAGCGCGGGAATGGGCTGGGACAGCAGGGCGGTCCTTGCCTGAGGATTTCTCACAGCCGCCCCAGCAGTAACAGCTCTGCCCACCCGGGTCCTGAGAGCTGCTGACCTAGCGCTTTCGCTCCGCCGCCCTGAAGCCTGGCAGAGGTCCCGCCCTCTACTCCGGGCGACCGCCTAGTCCCTACCCCTTATTTGCCGGCCCCATCCGGGCCTCAGGCTATTCCACAGGTCCACGCCCACCTCGCGCGTTGCCCTATCCATGGCCGTTCCTGGCGCGGGAGCTCTCCGCCCTCCATGCATTGCCCAATCACGTTCCGCACCCCCAGGGCTCCGCCCCCACGCCCCGGGGCAGCCGGCTCCGCCCTCCCGGTTGCCCCGCCTCCCCGCTTCCCCGCCCCAGCCGGCCCGGTGGCCCCGGCCCCCTCGCGGAGACCCTCGGAAGCCCCGCGAACATGGCGCTGCGAGTGGCCGGGAGCGTGCGCGCCGCGGCCCGCAGCCTGCGCGCAGCCTCGGTGCCCTCCCCCCCCTGCCCGATTCGGCCCTGGAGGCTGCGGGCGGGCGCAGTGCGGCCGCTGCACACCGGACCGAGTCTGCTCGCGGGTAAGGGCGCGGCACGTGGCCGCCGGCACCTCGTCCCCAGCTGCCCCTGCTCCCTCTGGGAGCCCCTGCGCCCTGGCCCTCCTAAACGGCGCGGGAAGACGCGCGCGATCTTCGTGCCGCGGGTAAAAAGGAGCCGGGCGGGGAGGCCTGCGGGACCCTGGGACGGTGCTTTCGGTCGGGGTCCCCCGCGTGAGCTGGCTGCTGCAGCCGGGAAGCCGAGAAGCTCCCTGAGGGTCTCTGTGACCTTAGTTTGTCTCCCCTTTGTGTGTGCTGCGAGATCCTGAACTTGGGGTCTTAGTTTAACAAATGGCCCTGAGAATTCCTAAGCGGAATTGAGCAGAAGCGCTAGCATGAAAGCACTGCGACGGTGTTCACTAGCTCAAACAGGCAGGAGGTCGAAGACTCGGCTGAGTTTTCCAAAAACAGGGGACACAAGGTCTCTTGGGTTCTTCACAGACGTTCTGCGGGAGTCTGTTTTTTGTTGTTGTTTTGTTTTGTTTTGTTTTTTGTCTTTTTGAGACTGGGTCTCATTATGCAGTTCATACTGATCTTGAGCTCACTTTGTATCCCAGGCTGGCACCTCGCAGTGATCCTCCTGCCTCAGCCTCCTGAGTGCTGGGATAACAGGTGTGCCCCACCATGCCTGGCTTTTTAAAGGGACTGGAAATAACTGGGAGATCAGCCCTTGAGCGTCTAAACCTTTGGCGTCCCTTCAGACAGTTATCGCAGTAGAGACACAGATTTCTTTATGCGTAAATACTTGAGACACTAGTTTTAGTAAGAATTCAATCAGCAAATTTAGTGTGCACAGATTTGTAGCGCTAGTGTCTCCTTAAATTCACTTGTTATAAAAACGTTTTAAAGCCGGGCATGGTAGCGCATGCCTGTAATCCCAGCACTCAGGAGGCCGAGGCAGGAGGATCCTTGCGAGTTCCAGGCCAGCCTCGCCACAAAGTGAGCTGAAGGCCAGCCTGAACTGCATAGCGAGACCCTGTCTCAAAAAGACAAAAAAAAAAAAAAAGAAAGAAAAGAAAAGAAACGTTTTGAGAATTGCTGCTCATTTTATTTATCCCCAAGTTTGAAGCATAACATCATATTGCTTCTGTTCATTTACCAACGTTCTCTCAGCTGTTTGTGACACTTAGGCATTACCAATTTGAATATGAGAGTAGAGCGTTTCTCAGACAAGAATTTCAAGTCTATATAGAGGGTTTTTTTTTTTTTTGTCTTTTTTTCCTGTGTTTGCATTTGGTAGTTATCTAGTTAAATATTGTCAAAATGTCAATGCCTATGATGAAACATTTTTTTAATTGACACATAATGACTGTACCTACTTACGGGGTACAGTGCGCCCAAGTTTTGAAAAGCAGACAGACCCTACTTCCAACACTGGTTCACTGTCCTGGGAGCTATGTGAGCTGCTCCACTTGGAACCTCAGTTTCCCGCATCAGAAAAGTAGAGGTAGTAGAGAGGTGAGGGGTGAAATGAAATATCAGTGTATAGCATCAAGGAGATAGCAAGAAAAACTGACCAACATTAATGTGAAGTGTACTTTATCTTTTTGTTTTGTTTTGTTTTGGTACCAGGAATCAAACTCAGGACCTTTCGCTAGGCAGGCACTGTGCCGCTGAGCTATATCCCTGGCCCAAGTATACTTTATCTAGTGACCGTGAAGGGAAGAAAATGCAAATTTTTCCTGAATTACAACTCCTGATTTTATGAGGCTAAAAATCATGTTTTTCAGGGCCCAGTAAGAAAGTAATTATTTACCTAATGTCTGCTTTTTCCCCTTGTTGGGCCAAGGGTTAAAGGAGAATTGTACTAAAACAGCTTTTAGCCTAAGCAGCATGCCCAGTCAAGATGGTGATTTCAGGGCTTTGCAGTCAAGTGGAGCCCCGAGCATGGTGCTGCTGCTGCCGGCTCATCAGACTGGGGTCGCTAGGTTGAGTGTCACAGCAGCCGCACTCCCGGCTTTACAGTCAGGCAAGATGGCCAGGACTGTTGTCTCACAGGGGTCCTATATTTATAGTTGTCCAGCTCTTACTTTCAAAAGGAATATTAGTTTTTAACTGCTCATAATTGGTAATGCATCATTGAGTTCTAAAGTTTGTTTTTGTTTTTTGGTCTTTTTGAGACAGTCTCGCTCTGCAGTTCAGGCTGGCCTTGAGCTCACTTTGCAGCCCAGGCTGGTCTCGAACTTGCAGCGATCCTCCTGCCTCAGCCTCCCAAGTGCTGGGATTACAGGTGTGTGCCACCACACCCTGCAGAGACAGGATTCTCTAAAGTCACTAAGTTGTTCATTATGCTGGGTTCACCCTCCTGCCTTAGCTTCCCAAGGGCTAGGATTATAGATGTGCATCACCAGGCCCAGGTAGGATGTGCCATCTTTACAGGTGGTCTTTGTTCCTTCCGTGGGAGGTTACTATTGAACAGCAGTGTCAATAAACCCAATACTGAGGAAGTCTTACCTTTTGTCAGCAAAGGCATGAAAAGGGCTTTATTTTTTTATTTTTTGGTCCCGGGAATCGAACTCACCACCTTGATGAAAAGGGCTTTTAAAAAAGTAATGCTTCTCTGCAATATTGGTCTTTTGTTTTAGTGCGTAAATTCACAGAGAAACACGAATGGATAACAGCAGAAAATGGTATTGGAACAGTGGGAATCAGCAACTTTGCACAGGTATTGGGTTGTCTTGAAGTATCTGTGATAGTCTGCTCTCTATGATTTGCATGGTGGGAACCTTTCAGGAATTGTTTATTGGGTACATTACTTTGGGTCCTTTTAAAGGTCCCTGAATCAGTCAGAGATGAAACAACCAATTGTACATTAGTTAGGGCAGTGTGTGGGATTACAAGAGACACTGGGTTAATATTTAATGTAGGAAACATGTCTTATTTAAGAGCTATTTTAAATCAAGCATTTAAGGTAAGAAGAAGAAAAAGAAGAGCAAGGAGAAAGGCCAGCATTTTTTTTTGTTTGTTTGGTACGGGGAATTGAACTTAGTACCTTGTGCTTGCCCCGCAGGCACTTGTGCCCCTGAGCTAAATCCCCGGCCCTTGGAGGAGGGCATTTTGTGGGTACAGTGCTGCTTGGCGAAGAAGAGGGGAACCTCGGACAGGCACAGAATACATAAGGAAGCCTTTCACTTGGTTCATCTTTTCTCTGCTAATTCCCCATCGTCACAGATCTTACACTGAGATACTGTTGAAAGAAAGAGGCCACAAAGTAGCAGGACTGAGGATGTTTAATTGGGGTGTGTGGGGGTGAGGCAGGACAGGAGGGAGGGCGGAATTCCTGAGACATGTTGAATTCTATGGGGCTGAGGGCCAGGTATAGTGACATCTTCTTTAACATAGCTGGGCACCCGCTGTGAGGCCCTGTGCAGGGCGTTTTGTGGAATATTGTGTAAGATGTTGTCCTTGCCTCCAGGAATTTATCTGCAAGAGGAATCACCTACGTGGAAGAGACACACACAGTATGTGACACAGGTCACGGGGGCGGATGATTCAGCAGATGTCAAGATCACTTCTGGAGTCTAGGTCGCAGTGTAAAAGGCTGAGAGGACTGCGGCTTAGCCAGCCAGGGGATATCAGGGAGCGCAGTGGGGGTCATGGCAAATGGAAAGTGCAGAGGCACCAAGTGCGGTGTGTTGGTGCTCATGCAGTTGCAGTCTTGAGGGTGTAGGGTTCGTGCCATTGGTCACTACAGCTTCGGGGCCAGATCTGCTTTTTTAAAAAAAAGTTACTCCATTTTAAAGGAGTTAAGAGGAAAACAACGCAGCTCCACAAGTATAAAATATGCAGTCTGGATTACAGGGCATTTGGCATTTATCTTGTTCCTATTTCCTGAAGAGGTTAATTTGGTTTCTTAGAGCTCTCTGTGTCTTTGGTTTTCAGGAAGCTTTGGGAGATGTGGTTTACTGTAGTCTACCGGAAGTCGGGACAAAACTGAAAAAGCATGGTGAGTATTTTTCTCATCTTGGAATGGCACGCATTTTCTTCGGTCTTTACCTAAATAGTGTATTTTTTGTGCATTCAGGGTCAGTTTGAATGCTTTCAGCTCAAGTGACAGAATATACACACTTAGGAGGCTGAGGCAGGAGGATCACTGCAAGTTCGAGACCAGCCTGGACTACACAGTGAGCTCAAGGCCAGCCTGAACTGCATAGCGAGACCCTGTCTCAAAAACAAAAACAAAAAAACAAGTGACAGGATATACAAATAGAAGTGTGTAACAGTTGGGGGTTTGTTATTCTCATACACGCTTTTGGCTTACTGAAAACTGTCAGGGACACGGCCTCCTACCTTCTCTTTCTGCTTTGGCGTCAGAATTCAGGAGGGGGGCAGGTTCTGGTCTCTGTTGAGAAGTTCTCGCCGGAAGTCTCTTGGCAGGTGCCTTCTTCCGTGTCATGCTGCCCACCCTGAGCTGCGAGGGAGGGTGGGATGGAGAATGACAGGCACGTGGAGTGGAAGGTGTGAAGTACAGGGAAGTAGCTCGTAACTCCTCCCCTGCCTCCCCTCTGCACATGGATAGTGTAACTGTTTAATCGCTGAGGTCTGTTCAGTTTAACAGGTTAGGGCCTGGGGATTTGGCTGCATAGTAGAGTGCTTGCCTAATATGTGCAAGGCCCTGGGTTCTAATGCTATCGCTGCAAAAAAGAAAAAGAGAAAGGAAGGAAGGAAAAGATACAGACCTGCCTTGCTTTACAGGCAGCAGAGATTACCAAGAATGTATTCTGGCTCAACTTATATAGCCTAGTTTTTTAAATGTGGCCCCACAGCTTATAAACTCCTGTGATTTCAGGGAAGTCTCATTTGTAAATTAGGGTATCTACCTCCTGTCCTATCTACCTGTAATGTTTTTTTTTTTTCTTTTTGAGACAGCGTCTCGCTGTGCAGTTCAGGCCAGCGGAGAGCTCACTTTGTAGCCCAGGCTGGTCTTGAACTCGCAACGATCCTCCTGCCTCAGCCTCCTGAGTGCTGGGATTACAGGCATGCACCACCACGCCCAGCAAGAATTAGTTAAATGAGTAGAATGTCTAGCATAATGTAAGTGCTTGACGGACGTTAGCCTGCAGTACCAGGTGTACTTTTCATTAGTTTTTTTTATCTTATTTTTAAACCCAGGCCCTCTGCACTGAACTACATCCTCAACCCATTTGTTTGCTTATTTATTTATTGAGGCTGGTCTCAGTAGGTTCCCTAGGTGGGACTCCAGCTTGCAACCCTCCTGCCTTCATCCCCAGAGAACTGGGATTGTGCACATGCAGGAGCAAGCCTGGCTTTGGGTAGTTACAGTCCTGCAGAATTTATTTATTTATTTATTTTCCTTCTGGTACCAGAAATCGAACTCACGACCTTGCACTTGCCAGGCAGGCGCTTTTGCCGCTGAGCTAAATCCCCAGCCCCCAGTCCTGCAGAATTTAAGTATCTATCTTCTAAACTTTTTTGTAATACTGGGGATTGAACGCAGGGCCTCATGCATGCTAGGCCAGCATATGGCACTGAGCTACATCTCCAGCCCTTTTTAAATTTTGAGAATGGGTCTTTCCCAGTCTATCCTCACTCTTATGATCCTCCTGCTTCAGCCACCCAGGTTACTTGGGATTTCTCAAGTATCTTGTTTTTTTTTGTTTTGTTTTTTTTTTTGTACTGGGAATCGAACTCAGGACCTCGTTCTTGCCAGGCAGGTGAGGTTCCTCTGAGCTATATTCCTAGCCCCGTATCTCTTGATCGTACTTGTCATACTGTTTTCCCCCATCACTTATCTCATTGGAACTTAATTTTTCTTTGCTTTCTTGTTGAAGTTTGTATTATTTTAGCTTTCATGTTCAAGGTTATTAAGTTTTCCATGCAATGTGAAGTAAGAGTTCAGCTTCACTTTTCCTACGTATTTATTCATGTTTCCAGCACCGTTTGTTGGAAAGGAGCTTTACTTTCTGTTTTTAAAAACTTTTATCAGTGCACGTTGGCAGTACATTGGTCCATGTGCAAAACACATCCCAGTTCTTTTCACCTCTCCTCCCTCCCCTTCCCCTCCTCTCCAACTCTAGATCAAGTTCACTTTTTTGTTGTCTTTTTGAGACAGTCTCGCTATGCAGTCCAGGCTGGCCTCAAACTCAACAACAGTCCTGCCTCAGCCTCCTGAGTGCTGGGATTACAGGCTTGTGCCACTACACCCGGCTGATCAAATTCACTTTTAATGTTTATGCACTTTCAGCTTACCCTTGGATTACAATGAGGTGGACATGGTTGCTTGTCCTCATCTTAGGAGGGGCATTTGGTATTTCATCATAGGCGTGATGCTAGCTGTGGGGTTTTTCACACATGCTTATTACTAGTTGAAGAAGCTCTTCTCTGTTACTAAGGGCTTTTTCTAGATGAGTTTTGTCAAGTTCATTTTCATCTGTTGACATCGTAGCTGGTTTCTTCTTTCTTCTATTAACATGATGAATAGGACTGAAGTTTAAAGAAGTTTGCTGGGCATGGTGGTACACGCCTGTAATCCCAGCACTTGGGAGGCTAAGGCAGGAGCATCACAGTGAGTTGGAGGCCAGCCTGAACTACACAGGGAGACCCTGTTTCAGAAAAAAAAAAGTCAAGCTGAGCGGGGTGGCGCACGCCTGTAATCCTAGCACTGGGGAGGCTGAGGCAGGAGGATCATTGTGAGTTCGAGACCAGCCTGGGCTACAAAGTGAGCTCAAGGCCATCCTGCACTGCATAGTGAGACCCTGTCTCAGGACCAAAAAAAAAAAAGTCAGCAGGCTGGTCATGGTGATACATGCCTGTAATCCCAGCACTGAGGAGGCTGAAGCAGGAAGACGGCCCCATGTGGACATTGTTCAGGGATCATCAGAGCCCAGAGTTTTACACAAAATTTTGTCTCCCTTTGTCTTTACCATTCCTAAGGTTTCCCACTTCTCTTTGCAGTAGCTGTGGTGGCCTCAAGCCCATGGCTCTGGTTCCTCTAGCCAGTAAGAGCTGGATTTTCTTTCAGAATTTCAGCGGCCCTGCATGGTAGATTGGTGCCTCTCCAAAAAGCCTTTACTGGAAACTCCCAAATCTCACCAGTCAGCCCTTTTTTCAAGTGCTGCCTCTTCTCTAGAAATTGCCTGCTTTTATTCTGTAAGTGTCTTTAGAACTCAGGCCATTGATTTGAAAACAATTTGTGGATCTAAAAGCCTAAACCTAACCAATTTCCTAAGCACTTTGAGATCCCACAAATTCTGATGATGCAGTCTCATTATGACTCATTTCAAAGCATCTTCCAGTTTCCCTTATGATTTTTTGACTTGTGAGTTAATTGAAGTATGTTATTTTATTTCCATGTATTTGGTTGGAGCTTTTCAATTCTAAGTAACTTACTGACTTTTAATTTAATTTGCTGTAGTGAAAAGGAAATGTTCTGCTAAGTTTTCGGATTTGTTTTTGGTTTTTGTGTAGTAGTTCATGGAATTCACTGTAGCCCAGGCTGGCCTTGAACTTGCCTCTGCCTCGGCCTCCAGACTGCTGGGAGTACAGACCTGTGCCACCACACCTGGCACCTTGCATTTACCACTTAAGAACCCTTCGTTCCTGCCTGAGGTGGTGTTAGGTCACAGCCGTTAGCCCAAAGATGCTCTGCAGAATGTCTTGGCAGGGAAGATAGTGCTTCCAACTCATTCTTTTTTTTTTTTTTTTTTTTTTAATTTTAAAGAGTAAAAGAAGGACAACATAGCAATAGGGGGTTCACCGAATTACAAAGTGGTGGGACATTATCAATGGTTGTTATTTTACTTATTGGTATCTTCAAGATAAGTTCCTCAGGACCGACAAATTCTTTGTCTGGAAATGCCTTTTTTATGTTTATTTTTCTTTTTTTTTCTTTTTGAGACAGGGTCTCACTATGCCATTCAGGCTGGCCTTGAGCTCACTTTGTAGCCCAAGGTGTTCTTGAACTTGCAAGGATCCTCCTGCCTCAGCCTCCTGAGTGCTGGGATCACAGGTGTGCACCACCACGCCCGGCTGTGTTCATTCTTGAAGGACATTCCTGCTATCCACGGGATTCTAAGTTGACAGGTTCTGCCTCCCCTGCGCTAGCGATTTCCAGTGTTCCTGACAGACCTCTTCTCTTTCCCTTGAGTACTGAGTTTTTAAGCTCTTTGACCAGGGCATATGTAGATGTGGCGTTTTCTGTGTGTTTACTCTGCTGGAGGTTTGGTGAGTTTCTTGCCTATTAAGGTTGCTTTTTGTCACCAAAATTTGGAGCTATTTTGGGTCACTGTGCGTTGTTTTAAATCTCATTCTCTCATCTCAGTAAGTTCAGTTACAGTTTGTCAGGTCACTATGTGTCCCTCGGGCCTTAGGCTCTGGTGACTTTGCGGTCTGTTCTGAGATAGGTTTATTTGATCTTTCTTCACGTATCTTGGATCTCTCTTCTGCTGTCCCCAGGCCGCTACTGATACAATCTGCAGGATTTTTTATTTTGGATATCAGGCCTTCCATTTCTAGAGTGCTCATTTAAAAGTTTTTATTGCAAGTAGTCCTGTATATGTCAACTCATTGTGATGAACTTTAAGTCTCTGAACACATTTTGTTTCCTGATACTAGGGATTGAACCCAGGGCCTTCACCCTGAGCTACATGCTTAGCCTTTTGAAATTTTTATTATTATATATATATTTATTTTGAGAAAGCGTCTTGCTATGCATTCCAGGCATACCTTGAACTCAGTGTAGCCCAGCCAGCCTCAAAACTCCTGGTGATCCTGTCTCAATCTTCTGAGTGTTGGTGTTATGGGTACGTGCCACCATGCCCAGCTCTTATTTTTGAGACAGGGTCTCGCTAAATTGCCTAGGCTGGGCTTGAGCTTGCCTTGCAATCCTCCTGCCTCAGCTTCCTACAGTGATAGTATTACAGACATGTGCTAGCACAACTGGCTCTGAACAGACTTGTAGTAACTACCTTTAAGTTTTTCTGCTCTTTCCAACACAGAAGTCATTCTGGGGTCTTTTTTTTTTTTTTTTTT